TGATTTTTATTGTCATGAAAAATCCATTCTACGTGTGTTTAGAAGATGCTAGATATAGACCACTAAGGAGGAATTTTCTTAAGAGGCTCTGGGCCTAGGGAGTAGGAAGCAAAAGTAAACAGAGTTACAGAGGTTCATTTTACCACTAACAAAATAATAACAGTAATAAAGGTGAATTGTAATTTTGGTTTTTAATGGTGTCTCTGGTTGATATTTGCAAAAAATAAAAAAAAAAATTCCTTGAACCAAACTTTATCCATATAGACCTCAACCCAAGGTCATGAGACACTTGATGGCTTATTTGTGTTAAGGATGTTTATTTTGGGGAAAGTGAAAATTTTGGATGCTATTTATTTCAGCTCTTAGAAAGTATTTGGTTTCAGGGTCAAGCACTGTGGCACAGCCGGAATATCTGCCACTTGGGATGCCAAATCAAATATCTGAATGCTTTGGCTCAAGACCTGCCTCCACCGCCTATCCAGTTAGCTGGTACTGTGTACACTGGGAGTCAGCAGATGAAGGCCTGAATGAGTCCCTGCCTCGCACATGGGAGACCGGTGGAACTGCTCTGAGCTTCAACTTGGCCCGGGAATGATTGTTGCAGGTATCTGAGGAAGTAAAGCTAAGGGATGGAAACTTTCTCTCTCAATCTCACTCTCCTTTAAATAAAAACTTAAAAATAAAACCACTATCTCTCAGTGGCCAAGTTTTCTGGGTCAGACAGAGGGAGAATGTATCACAGAACACTCTGTGTTAGCATTGCTTCTCAGCATGAGGGACAGACTTGCTTCAACAATACCCTAAAACGTACTTTCAGGATATATTCTAAAAGAGTGGATTCCTATGACAACAGCAGGAAACAATTGATCCTGGAATATTTATTAGTGCTTTTATTCAAGGCTGTTGGATTCTGCCAAAAAGTGAGGGCTTAGACAGCTATAGTCATCACCGAGCTTTTTGATAGTAATCATTTGTATTATACCTGGGAACACTCAAAATAGTGGTCAACATTTCTCTGTATTTCTGAACAGCAAGGAATCTGAATTTAAGACATGGCTTAAAGGCACCTGTATAGGTTAGACCAGCTAGCCTTTGCTTATTCAAAATTGTAAAAATTTAATTTATGGGGGAAGAGTGAGGAAAGACTCAGGGAAGAGAGAGAGAGGAAGGAAGAGAGAAAAAGAGGGAGAGACACTGATGACGAGCTCCTATCCATTGGTTCGCTTTCCAAAAGTCCTCAGTGCTTGGGGCTGACACTGTCATACCACTCGCCCCCCATGTGAGTGGCAGGTGTCTAATCACTTGAATCAGCACAGCTGCCACTCAGGGTCTGCGTGGAGGGAAGCTGGAGTCAGGACCCAGGGTCAGAGCAAGGCGTGGAAGCCAGGAATTAGCCGCTAGCTTAAATGCCCACGCTGCTTTTTACTTCTCGGGTTTATCATTTTTCTTTGAAAATCCCCATACAAATCAAGGTTATTTGTACCGTAGTTTTTTGAAAGGTAGGTGTTTTCCTGCCTTCTAAGGTGTTAGAATTGGTAAATCATACCTATGGAACTCATTTTTGTCTGAAATGTGGTTTGTTTGCCAAATTGTTTTGTAAAGTAATCCTTGAAAGGGTTATATGCTAATGATATTATCTCATGAATGGTTTCAACAGAGAGTTTTTGAAATATTTAAGTTAACATTATTAAGCATCTTTTTCCATGCTTTGCTTCAATATTTAAACTTTCTCCAGTTTGTGATCATGGTTTAGCTTCTCAGTAAATATTCATGTAGTTATCTCTTGATTCCTTCTTGATTTCTCTTGGGTCCAATCTGTGGTTTTTTGGCTCAGGAATATCTTCAAAGAAAGGAAATCAACTGGTCGAACCAGGACCAGATCACCACTACAATAGAAGCAAGAACAAATTCTCAGGGTGATTCTTTAACAAATAGGATTGCTAGATACAGTGAGCTATCATGGGAGAAATTAAGGCAAGTTCGTTATATCCTAAGAACTTCTAAAAAAAAAAAAAAGATTCTCAACTTTTGCATTTTTTTAAATCCTAGAAACTAGGAGACAGTCTGAATATGTTAGACCATATGTTAGGATATCGCCCATGGAGAAGTGAAGAATGTGAAAGGTGCAAAAAAAAAAAAAAACAGCAAGAAGATGTGTAGGACAATAAGTTTTCCCTCTGTGTAATGAACATAACCTTCCTGAACTATCCTATTGAATGAGTATTTTTTAAATGTCATCAATATTTTGACTTTCACCTGTTACGAAGTTTCCTCCACCTTCAACAGCCTTACTGTTTCCCATTCTCTCATCTATTTATCCCTCAAACACTAACGCTAGGCATGATTCCAGCCACTGCGGCACAGTGGCAAGCAAGAGTTTTCTCCTGGTAAATATTTAGCAAACAAATTAAACAAAACAGAGTAGGTATTTAATAAACAAGTTTTTCAAAGTGAACCACTGCAGAACTGACAGGAGATGTGAAAGACATAAAACAGGGAAGAGGACACAGCCTGTAACAAGGGTTCAGTTCAGAGAAGACCTTCTGTGAAGAGCTTAGATTTTACTTTATTTATAATGGGAATTCATTGAAAGGTTTTAATTAGGGGGCCTAGTGAGATGGCTCAGTGGCTAAATCCTCGCCTTGCATCCGCTGGGATCCCATAGGGGCCCCAGTTCATATCCCCGCTGCTCCACTTCCCATAGAGCTCCCTATTTGTGGCTTGGGGAAGCAGCAGATGATAGCTCAAAGCGTTGGGACTCTGTCCCTGCATGGGAGACCCAGAAAAAGCTTCTGGCTTCGGATCAATCAGTTCCAACCACTGGAACCATTTGGGTAGTGAACCCACTGGTTGAAAGACCTTTCTCTTGTTTTTCCTTCTCTCTGTAAACCTGCCTTTGCAATAAAAACAAATAAATCCTTTTTAAGGTTTTAAGTGGGGAGTGACAATGATCAGACTTATGATTTAAAGGGCTGATTCTGGACTGTAAGTGGGCAAGAAGTGAAGACGGGAAACTACTCAGGAGGCTGTTGAAGAGAATGGTGGAATGGGAATGGTTGGGACTAGCATGGCCCTGATGACCAGATATAAAATATAGTTTGAATATACATCCGCTAAGGCTTTCTGATGTGATCAAAGAAGATTCAAGGTTCACAACAAATGGGAGAAAAAGTAATCAAATATGATCCCCAGGCATAAACTTGAAACTAAGGTGAATATAATGTCTTTGGAGAGGATTTTGTTTCCTAACACACAAATAGAAATTTGTATTTTCTGTTTTCCAATAACATATGCAAAGTTATCACTTGCTGAAGATTTTAAGTGTTATCTGGTTAGAAAGCCATAAGTATATTCACATTTGAACACTTTCCAAATCACATATCCCTGTTGCCACCCAAGTGGCAGCCTAAACCACCCCAGTGTAACAGCCTGGCAGCTCATCTGTGCTGTTCTCTTGGAGTTTCCCTGCCAGTCAGTCTCTGCACAACAGCCTGGGGATCGTTGCCACCAAGGTTTGCTTTCCTGCCCAGCATGCACTAGGAGCTTCCCATTCCACTTCCAAAGAAATCCGACTTCTTTCCTGGCCCTCTAAGATCTTCCTGAACGTGGCCGTGTGAGCTCTTTCTCTCTGGCTTCCTTCTGCTCCTTGAACACATGCAGCTCGGAATACTCCCAGGGCTCTCTTCTTGCGGTTCCTTCTGCCTGAAATGGTCTTTCTTTATACCTTCCATGGTCGGTTTCTTCTCATCATTCAGGTCATTCACTCCCTCCTTGGAGGGGCTGTGTTTGATCACGGTCTACACAGACGTACTCTGTCAGACACTCTACAGCATGACTTTGCTGGCATTTTTTTTTTTCAGTGCTTATCCCTAACCGAAATTGTTTTCTTCCTCATGGTCTTTCTCCTTCTTAGAATGCCTACCTCTTGTCCCTACTAGCTAAAACAATGTTTACACAGAGCAAGCACTCAGTAAGATTTTGTAGAATATGTGAATTCTCACTTTGTGCAATATTTTGATGGGAAAGAACTGGGCAGAAGCCCAGTATGAAGCAATAACAACATATGTCATCCACAGTGACCCAGGCAGCATGTGACAACAATCCCCAGCGTTTTGGAATTTAGTGCTACAGGAACCTTCGTAGAACTTCAGGGAAAAGATAAGAAAGGCAGAAGACAAAACTAGCATGTAGCGTATTAACACACTTGTGGCATATAATATACCAATATACATGCAGCCTAGAACTGTGTAAGACTTTCAACACCCTTTTGTGAAGTAAATGAATCAATGGATACAAAAGACTTAATAGCCTGCTAATCTGACCAAAGGGGAAAACAAATTGATCACACTTTGACTATTTGGAATATTTTTTGTTCTAAAACAGCCCGATTGAAAGGAGGGAAAAAATTTAGCTTGCTTGAGGTAGCCCCAACATTAAGCAGAATTAGCTTTGGCACTCACACATGAAAGCTAAGGATCAATCCTTTTCACATCTGCTTATGCCTTTCCTGTATCTTGCTAGCTGTAGGATAAGGCCCAACATTCTATTCCCAACTGCTCAATCACTTAACAACTCGTGAACATTCCATGTAATTTTACATTAACCTCATCTGTTTTGATCTCTCATTATCACCAGACAGCATAAAATGAGTTATTAACCAAAGTGGGACAAACGTTTTAAGGTGACTAGCAAGACAAATACCTATTTTGAAAAACACAGCCAATTAGGACGACAAAAGTAAATTTAGCTGTCTTCACTTTTCAAGAACTGTTAGATCAAAAATGATGACAGAAAACAGAACAACTTGCCAGTGAATGTATGTGGAATATCTTTCCTAGAAAAAAACAGCATGTTAACAGCATATTTCAACGAGATCTATCTCAGTATCAGAAATATTTTCACCAGAAAATTAACCAATCGCACAAGTGAAAAACAATAATTATCAGAAATATCATCTATTGAATCTTCCATAGGAATAACATATCTGAATAAATTCTTACCAGACCACCACCAATGACAGCTACTTTTTTCCTTGGAAAGTTGGAGGAGTCCATAGCCACTGAAGCGTTGGTCACGGCAGGTGTCTCTTCCTCACGTTGGGGCTGGCTTCTCCACACTCAGAGTTCTCCCAGGCTTAATGTTGCCCAAAGCTCAGCCCACTTGTGGCTAGAAAACAGTCTTTGGGCAGGGCCAATTCTCAGTGATAGCATTTAACTCCTGAGTACCCTTAAGGGTGAGCAACTCGGCTTTAACACAGAAGGGACTTCTATTTGAAAAATCCCACCAAGTGAAGACACTGTGCTTTGCATGTAGAATGAAGAGTCTGTGCAACAGCCCAGTGGCTTGGTTCTTCTTTCATTATAGGATGTGCTCCTAGTTTCGCTTTCATTCATGATTGGCGGTGAGACTTCCGTCCTCTGAAGAATCTTCTCTTACAGAGTGAGGTGATGAAGATCAAACAGGAATTCCACCTGAAGGATTCTCACGAATTCTCCAACAGACATATTTGGGTATGTTTATACTGGCTGTCAGCTGACTCTTAATAGTTTCCTGGGCAAGATTTTAAATTGTGTACTTAAACAATTGAACATGCTTTATTTTTTTTCCTATTTTCTCTTTTTCTTTTTCTGTGTGCCAGGAAATTTAGACTCTAATTTGTACATCAACCCGTGGTGAGAAAGTTAGCATCATACTTCTATAAACTCATTTCTGGCTTCATTTTTATTTACTGTTCTTTTTCATATGATTTCAAGTGTATGCTATTTGTCATGCATGTGTGTGAATTGTTGTTTTTGTTTTCTGGAACATGAAATAAAGTAAGAACATGAATGAAGATGGTTCCTTATCTAAAAGTAAAAGCACAGAGACAAAAAGAATTCAGATTTTTCCCTGGTGAGGAATTAGAGCTAAACATTGTTCAATAGTGCCCCCTTGTGGAAAAGTACGGTTAGACTTCACAGACTATTTTTATTTATAGTGGGCCTTTGGTACTTTGGGAAATTCATTTCAGGCCTTGTGATAAAATCCACAGGTGTTCAGGTCCCCTGTATATAACAGGGCAATATTTCCATAAGATTTCAAAATGTTTGTGAAAGATGAGATTAAAAGGCAATTTTTTTTTTGAAATCATGCAGTTTTTTTTCATGACATTCAACGTCAAGAACTTTTAAAAAATAACTCATATGCAAGGACTTAAAAATATTTTACATCAAAATAAGCTTACATTTTAATTTCATCCTTCACAATTGGTTTGAGAGCCTACACACATCCTCCCAGAAACTGAAATCATCTTTAGCTTACACATGATACTCAATACAACAAACTGTTATGAAATAGCAGCGATGCCATGGTTTATAGAAAGTAATGACAAGGAGAAAATATGTGTGTAAACACTATTTCTCTTTTCTGATTTTTAAAAAATTATTTATTTTTTATCAAAATGGCAGATTTACAAAGAGTGAGAGACATATAGAAAAAGATATTCAGTCCATTGGTTCACTCCCAAAATGGCTGCAACTGTCAGAACTGAGATGATCTAAAGCCAGCAGCTTCTTCTTTTTTTTTCTTTTTCCAAAGATTAATTTTATTTTTTATTGAGAAGGCAGATCAGAATTACAGAAAGAGCAACAAAGATCTTCCATCTGCTGGTTCACAAATGGCCACAATAGCCAGAGTGAGCTGATCTGAAGCCAGGAGCCAGGAGCCTCTCCTGGGCCTCCCACATGAGCCCAGGCCTCCCAAGACCTTGAAGGGCCGTCCTCTACTGCTTTCCCAGGCCATCTGCAGGGAGTCAGAGGGAAAGTGGAGCAGCTGATGCCCACATGGGAATCCCAGTACTTGCAGGTGAGGATTTAACTATTGAGCCATCACACCAGGTTGAGTCACAAATTTCTTTCGGGTCTCCCATGTGGGTGCAGGGTCCTAATGTTTTGGCCCATTCTCCACTGCATTTTCAAGCCATAAGCAGGAAGTTGGATGGGAAGTAGAGCAGCCAGGGCACGAACTGATGCCCATGGGGGATGCTGGTGCTTGAGGGTAGAGAACTGGCCTTTGAAGCTGTGGTGCTGGTTTATTATCTGAGGCTGGCTGACTCCAGAGGCAGAGTCCAGTGGAAACCAAGGGCTGGCAGCAATTACCAATAGGTGATATTGTCTGTGAAATTCAAGACACAAAAGAAGTTTTTTTTTTTTTTTTTAATTTTTTATTTGAAAGGTAGATTTACAGAGCAAAGGAGACTTCCATCCACTGGTTGTTTCCCTAAATGACTGCAATGGCCGAAGCTGGGCTGATTCAAAGCCAGGAGCCAGGAGCTTCTTCCATGTGTCCAGCAAAGGCTAATGCCCAGGGACCAGGGTAATCCTCTGCTGCTTTCCCAGGCCATAAGCAAGGAGCTGGGTTGGAAGTGGAGCAGCTGGGACTGACACAGTGCCCATGAGGGATTCTGGCACTGCAGCTGTAGGATTAGCCTGCGCACCCCCGAGCCAGCCCTTCTGAACACTTTGCTAGAGGCAATGCAGTGCTCACGTGTGTTTGCCTCTCAGGGTTTATATACAGGCTGGGTATACTTTTTTCTTCCTAAATAAACTAAAATGAGTGTGCTAACTTCTATTTCATGTCATATAAAGAAGTCTGCCTCCAACTACAACCTTATCAACATGTACACTGCTGGAGTTTCAAGTTTTTGCCAGTCTGATGAACTTGTCCTATATCTCATTCTCTTTAATCCTTTTCAATCCTTTGATTCAGAATGGGGTGAGCACTTTTAGCCTGTCTAGCCACAATCTACTTTTCTTCTTTTGTAGACAGTGCTCTTGTTGTAGGGGACGGGATTGTTCGGCTCTTCCCTCACTCTCTGCTGATTTCAGCTTTATTACTTTCCTTTGCTGCAAACAGCTTCCTCCACTCCGCGACTTCGATTTTTCACCTTGTCAATAAAATCTCTTGATGAAAATTTTCTTATTTTAGCATATCCAAAATGTTCAGCCTCTGCCTTTAGTTTTTCGAGTCCCCTTTTCTAATCTTTTTTCTAATCTTAAGGTCATAGAGATATTGTTTCAGATTTTCATTTGAACTATTTGTGTGGCTTTTGTGTGTCATCTCCAAGTCTCACAAAGTTTTATTCTTTTCCCTCCAAAAGTTTTGCTCTCTTTTGCTAGATTCACTTCCAGATAAATGATATTTTCCTGTTATTATACATTATATTCTAATCTTCTGCAATCGATGATGTGTTGAAACACACTTTAGAAAATGTAAAGGCACAAATGGTCATTTTAGTATATGATTGTTATTTTTAGCTGCTTTTTTATAATCCTGTGGAAATGGGGTCTTCCTGTTTTCTTCATGTTCATAGCTATGATTTGTGGTGAATTAACCCTGTAAATATAGAGTGGATTAAAACTATGTCTTAGGAAAACTACTAAAGAGAAGGGAGGGAGGGGGAAGCAGGGGAGAGAGGGAAATGGGGTTGTACCTACAGAATGTTAAACATCTGTTTCATTTGGACCCGGCGTAGTGGCCTAATTGCTAAAGTCCTCCTCGTCTTGCAGGTGCCGGAATCCCATATGGGTGCAGATTCTAATCCCGGCAGCTCCACTGCCCATCCAGCTCCCTGCCTGTGGCCTGGGAAAGCAGTCGAGAATGGCCTAAAGCTTAGGACCCTGCACCCGTGTGAGAGACCCAGAAGAAGTTCCTGGCTCCTGGCTTCAGATGGAAGATCTTCCTCTGTCTCTCCTCCTCTCTGTAAATCTGACTTTCCAATACAAATAAATAAATCTTTTTAAAAATCTGTTCTATTTATACGATTAAAAAACAACTAAAAATATAGCACTCAATCTTATGAAACTTTAAAGGACCATCTATTTATCTTATGAACCCAGTTTGCTTTTTTACAGGAGGTATTAACTCTTCCCCCGAGTGAAAACTGTAATTTAGAATGATAAATTTTAAATCCAGGAAAGAACAAATAGCAATTCACAAAATGTTTGTCTCCACAGCCAGAATGACACAGCTGAGGCCTTTCAGAAATTGAAGGATAGCGTGAGGGCCCAGGATAACTGTTATGAAAAAGGGGAGCAGAATCTTGAACAAAGTTTAATAATTATAAAGCTACAGTTCTGATCATTGTTAGGGATCACTCTCTTCTTCCTAGAAGAAGAGATTCAGGAAGGTTCCAGCTCAGCATCTCTCTGCTCTGCTGGACTTTCTTACACAGGCTTTCCCTCACCCTCTGGGCCTAAAACAGTTGAGGCAGTAGGGCAAGGTAGGGATTTAGAGGGCAACTTGGGTCAACAGTGGCAAGCAATCCCCCTCACTGGGAGTCAGTTATTAGGTACAACTTAAAATTAGTGCCTTTACAACGGAGTGACTTACCGGAGGAGCCTGTCTCAGAGCAGATAGTGGATATTTTCATTTTATACACATTTTATCAATCAGCATTATTGGAAGCAATAAGAACCTATGAAAAGAAACGTATCAGAGGGCTAATTAATACAATATTTACCTTTTTCTTTTTGTCATCCTTGTACTTTTGAAGTTGACAGAATACTGTTTGGTGAACATAGCTTGCTCAATAATTATTTACTCAGTTAATCAGACCCTTTGAACTTGGAACTTTTTGCTAGCGATGCTTTTCTATCTGTACATTGCTTGTTCCACTGTTTAGACCTCTCCAGACCCTCATCTTGAAAACCTAATTCAAAAGAAATGTCCTATCATTCCATAAACATTGTTCTATTGTGCGTTTACTGGTATGTAAATGATTTGATTTATTTCTTCACTCATTTGGTTAATAAATACTAGTAGAAATAAAGAGAGGAAAGTGAATGGAGACACACTTATGAAGCTGAATGGCAAGGATTTATTGATAATAGAGAATATTGTGTGCTTGTGTTTGGGGAACAAGTAAGAATTAAAGGGGGCCTGGCATGGTAGCTTAGTGGCTAAAGTCTTCGCCTTGCACATGCAGGGATCCCATATGGGTGCCAGTACTAATCCGGGTGGCCACACTTCCCATCCAGCTCCCTGCTTGTGGCCTGGGAAAGCATCCAAAGATGGCCCAAAATCTTGGGACCCTGCACCCATGTGGGAGACCTGGAAGAAGCTCCTAGCTTTGGATTGGCTCAGCTCCATCCGTTGCGATCACCTGGGTAGTGAATCATTGAACGGAAGCTCTTCCTCTCTCTCTTTTGTCCTCTCTGTATGTCTGACTTTTCGGTAAAAATAAAATAAACATTTTAAAAAAGAGTTCAAGGAAGAAGAGGATTCACAGGATTCTGGTTTGAATAATTGGTAGTGCCATCTAGTGAACATGAAAGACTAAGGTGTGGGTGCCAATTACCAGGCAATATTTGAATCTGAGATGTGAGTACTAACTTCAACAACCAATGCAAATTGGTACATGAATCTGGAGCTAAGAAGATGTTACTAAAAACTATAAAGATGGCTGGCTCACCTAGAGACCACAGATGCTTCAGAAAAAATACCCTGTGAGTAATTTAATATCACTTACACAACACTGTTAAAGTCAGAAGGTTATACAGATTTTATAAAAATACATACAAACAAAAGGATACAAGCAAAAACATTTTGTCAGCTTTCTATATTTCTGAAAGGAGGAGTAAGGAATAGGGAGTAGGATAGCAAATAAATACTGCTTTTTTTAAGATTAATTTATTTTTATTGGAAAGGTGGATATGCAGAGAGGAAGAGAGACAGAGAGGAAGGTCTTCCGTCTGATGGTTCACGCCCCAAGTGAGTGCAACGGCTGGAGCTGAGCCAATACGAAGCCAGGAGCCAGGAGCTCTTCCAGGTCTCCCACACGCCTGTGCAGGGTCCCAAGGCTTTGGGCCGTCCTCGACTGCTTTCCCAGGCCACAAGCAGGGAGCTGGATGGGAAGCAGGGCCTCTGGGATTAGAACCAGCGCCCATATGGGATCCCAGCGCGTGCAAGGCGAGGACCTTAACCACTACGCTATCGCGCCAGGTCCACAAATACTTATTAAAGAAGGAATGGACTTTATGCTTCATAAGGTATAATAAAATTAGTACACTTTGTTCAATCCTCATTATGTGAGGTCCCACACACTTTTTTTCTTTTTTGTCTTTAACATTTTTTCTTATAATTTTTTGCAACTAAAATATTCTCCCACAGATTTTAAAAAATGTTTATTTTTATTGGAAGGGCAGATCAGATTTAAAGAGAGACAGAGGAATATTTTCCATCTACTGATTCGTTCAGGAGCTGAGCCGATTGGAAGCCAAGAGCGAGACGTCAGGAGCCTCTTTCAGGTCTCCCACACAGGTGCAGTGTCCCCATGATTTAGGCCATCCTCCACTACTTTCCCAGACCACAAGCAGGAAGCTGGATGGGAAGTGGAGCAGCTGGTACAGAAACCTATGCCCAAATGGAATCCCACACCTTGCAAGGTGAGGAGTTAGCCAACTGAGCCATTACACTGGGAACCATGAATGTCTTTAATACAAAGAAAAGGAAAAATCATTTACAGCTGGACCCTGTCACATTTCTTCATTGATAAGTGAAGATCTGGAGAAGGATAACCAGATGAAGGTGAAGCCAGTGAATCAAACAGGTACAGGAAAGGGTGAGAGAACAGAGTTCAGTATTCCAGAAATCAAGAGAATATTTCCATGTGGAAAATGTTTCTACTCTATCCCTAAATTTCGTTTGACTGGGAATAGAACACAAAGCCATAAATAACTTCAATTTGGCAGCTTGGAGACATTGACTGCTGTCTGACTCCGGGCTGCGGTTGTCAAGTCTGGTCATAGCCTTCCGAGGGGAATGCTTCTAGGTTCTTCTGCTTGCAGTCAACATTATACTATTTCTTTTTGCCTTAACAACTTCTGGCCAGTTTGTAGCTGCTTGTTTTCCAGTGTTTTCTTCTACTTGTTTTCCAGGTTTCTTGCACTTTGTTCTGCATTATTCGAATAGTGGTGTATTTCTCTAATCTTAGTCATTTCTCTCTCCTGTTTTCCTATCTTATGATATTTATTTTTTGAGACTTTTACCATTGCCCCTTGCAAGGTTTCTACTGTACTTTCTCTAACCAACTCCATGTAACTCCCAAGCTGGGAGATAGCCTAAATTAAAATCTTCAAAGTCTTTATTTAGAATGATGAGAACATTTTTATAGACAAAATTTGAAGTTAGTTATCAGTTTTGGTATCAAAGTGATGAAATGTAGCATAGTGGGAAGAAAAAAAAAACCCACCATATGTTCGCTTATGCTCACAACAGCATAGTGATGCTGTGACCGCAATGCAAAACGAAACGGCAAAACTGGAACCAGGTAAGGACCAGCAAGAAAGCGGGTCAATATGCCTAGAAAAGCCACAGGTTAAAAAAGAGTAACTCCAATTAAAAACCTTATTTTGCTTAAATGAAAGGTTTCATCTTAAAGATGTAGAATGTTGACAATTAACTTAAAGGTTTTACATGTATTTTCATTACTAAGTAACAGAAACACGCCAAGTAAGCCTACTTTCCCAAATTGTAAGTTTTCGTATATAACCTTCATTTACTTGTATAGCTTCAGAATATATAGCTAAATCCATTTGTATAGTATTGAATGTATTCAGAAAGAAAATGTATTCAGTATTTTGTTTCAAATTAATATATGTTTTATTTCAGTACAAATGGAACTTTATAATGCTGCTGCGGGCAGAAAATCAGTTTCACTGACAAACAGAAGGGAAGCAAGCGAGTATGCACGCTCCTGGACTGCAATATTCCATCTACCTACAGGAAGAGTGGTACCACTGACCTCATAGTTGTTTTGACTGTGAAAGAGTTAATAAATGTAAGGGCCTTAGAAAGATTCCTAGAATATAATTTGTCACATGGTTATTAAAAAGGGTTGAAATACACCAGTTTATAATTGGAAGACACTTTTTATCAGTTTTTGCTTTTCTACCGTTATTTATTCCAACAACATTCTTATTTTCAAAAAGTATACAAATTCGAAGATTCTAAATAACAAAGATTGTAAGGCCACGTGTGATTGTGGACATCTTCCACACGTTTAAAAATGAGTTCTGAGAGTACATGTTCAGGAGAAACGAAATCAGAGAAATCTTAAAACAAATGAATGGTTATCTTACTCTTGTGTGGCAGCATCAGGAGCAATGATTTCATTCTCTCTCTTTATTTTGCTGTAGTTTGTAAAATTAAAGCCCGGCAAGTGGGGTCTGGAATCAGCGGAAAGAATAATACTTTCTTTTAAGATACTTCACTGACAAAACTCTGTACCTATTTATATTCCCGCCTTCCACCAGCAGCAAAGCACTGGGAGGACCAATTGCCCGAACCCCGTTTCCCACAATCCCCTTCTCATTATTTTCCCATGAATCTGAGGGCTTCAAACTCTCGCACTACAGCAGAAAAAAAAAAAAAAAGGGCCCCTCAGTGTTTACTGGCCGTTCGCGCTTGGTCCCGCCCCGCTGGCTCCAGTGGAGGCTGTTGATTGGGTGGGAGTGGAGGCGCAGGGGGCGGGGCGGCCCTGACGGACGGCACGGAGGCGTGGCCGCAGGCGCTCGGAAGGTCTACCCGCGCTCTCGGCTTCACCATGTACCGAACGCTCCGGGTCCTCGCGCGTTCCGGCTGCCCGGGCCGAGCTCCTACCTGCGCCTCGGCTCCCGGCGTGAGCGGCTCGGCCGTCCTCCCGACCCGGCTCCCGCACGCCGCCCGAATGGTGAGCGCAGGCCGCGTGTTCCCCAGGCTCCCGGCCGTGACCTTCAGTCCTGCCCGCTGCGGGCAGCGGGAGGCCCCGGGTGTCCTGGGCCAGGCCGGGCCCCGTGCCGGCGTGGCGGGCCGCGAGGCTCCTCCGGGGAGCTCCGGCGTGGGCCTCGGTCGCCGGGCCCGTGGGTTCGCTGTGGGTCTCGCCGGGCCCGCGTCTCCTCCTGCCCGCCCTTCCCCGGGCGCTGCTGGGCCGGGCCGTGGCCAGGGCGCTTGGCGGGCATCCCGCCTGCACCGCGCTCCCTGCCGGAACCCCGAGTGCTGCGGGCGGGATGAGGGCTCGGGCAGGCTGTGTGTCTGCCCTTTGACAGGACCTGGCTGTGTGCACCTGCTGCCACGCTGCAGGCTGCTTTCAGACCCTCCTCCTGATCCAGTGAAAGTTCTTGGATCTTAGAGACGGGGGCCTATCCTATCCTTAGAATGAATACAGCTTCCCCCTAACTTTTGTAAAAACCCCAAAACTAACCACGAGCGTGTTATTCTGACCTGTGTGAGATGTTCTGAATCAGTACCGCAAATTGGAAGCGCAGCCAAGACGTTGGAAGGTCCACATTCAAGTTAAGACAGAAGGCCTTTTGCCTCGCGGAGTGTTGCCCTCGGTTATTTAAGCCAATGCACATGGACAGTGTGTTGCTGCGCTTTTGGTAGTTTAGGAAGAATTGCAGTTCTGTACTGTTGATTGTTGTGTGCCATGAGCGCGCTCTCTTTAAATATTTGTTTTTTTTTGGGCCCGGCGCGGTGGCGCAAGTGGTTAAAGGTCCTCGCCTTGCGCGCCCGGGATCCCATATGGGCGCCGGTTCTAGTCCCGGCAGCCCCGCTTCCCTTCCAGCTCCCTGCTTGTGGCCTGGGAAAGCAGTCGAGGACAGCCCAAAGCTTTGGGAACCTGCACCCGCGTGGGAGACCCGGAAGAGGCTCCTGGCTTCGGATCGGCATAGCATCGGCCCGTTGCGCTCGCTTGGGGAGTGAATCATCGGACGGAGGATCTTCCTCTCTGTCTCTCCTCTCTGTATATCCGCCTTTCCAATGAAAAAAATAATAATAAAAAATAAATCTTTAAATATTTGTTTTTATTGGAAAGAGAGAGAAGGAGAGACAAAGACGTTCTGCCCCCTGGCTCGCTCCCCAAATGGCCACAGTGACCGCAATGGCTGAGGCTGAGCTGATGCGGAAGCCTGGAGCCCAGGAGCTTCCTCAGGTCTCCCACGCGGGTTGCAGGATCCAAAGACTGAGGGCCCTCCTGCACTCCCTTCCCAGGCCATAGACAGGGAGCTGGAAGGGAAGTGGAGCAGCTGGGATTAGAACTGGCGCCCATATGGGATCCTGGCGCTCCTGCCATGGGAAGGTTTAGCCACTGAGCCATCATGGGGCCACCATGCGATTTCAAATCCTACTCTTGGCAAAATGGAGACTTTGGGCAGCTTATGTGAGCCTCAGTTTCCCCATGTAAAGTGTCACATCTTCGTAGTAAGCGCTCACAGGGGCTTTCAGCAAGATATTTCAATGGTCAGGACACTTCTTGAGTTACACAAGCTTTAAGATGGTTTGATGGCATCTGTATGCCTGAAACTACAAAACCTGAGTGTTCCGTGTTCCTGGAATTCCCTGTGGCAAGAATTTTAATACATTTAGAGCCTTTAAAGAAATATTTGAAATACACTTAGAAATATTCAGTCATTAATTTATTTTGAAAGGGGAAGTGTGAGAGAGAGAGAATGCTTTCCTCCACTGGTTCGCTCCCCAAATGGCTGCAACAGCTAGGGCTGGTGCAAGCCAAAGCTGGATACCAGGAACTCCCTTGTGGGGTCCCACGGGGTGGCAGGGTCCTGAGTGTTTGGGCCGTCCTCAGGAGACAGGGAAGCAGAACAGCCAGGATTTCATCTGGCTTGCCCATATGTGATCTTTATGTCGAAAATGAAGATGAGGCCACAGTGATGCTACAGGGATGGCTCCCAGCATTTTAAACTTATTTTGTGTTTTGTTAAGGCGAACAGAAGATAAACTTTTGAGTTTGCAGGGCAAATTAAAAAACTCGAAGCACTGTCTTGCTCTGAGGGTGCAGTTCTTTCTGTTGCTAGTGTGGAGAAGTCCGCGGAGTTCTTGATGACTTTGTTTACCTCTTTATTTTTCAAAATAGCAAAATTTGATTCAGTAGGAATGTGTGCTGTTTTATCAGATCCCATAAATAAGACACTCGGTAGGCACGGAATGTATAGAGTACTGGGACAGTTCAGACAAGTCCTTCAATGTGCAAATCACACACAGTTACGAGTTATCACATACTTTTGTTACTTTTTAACAAATGCTGCAGAGTGGGATTCACTATTTAACAGAGACCAGCTTTGCCTTGCTTTTGGTTATTGGTGAATAGGGAAGCTCAGCATTTTAAAAATTTTATTTATTTATTTATTTGAAAATCAGATATATAGAGAGGAGTTGAGAGTCTCCTCCGCTGACTCCTGGCTCACTCCCTAAGTGGTTGCAGCAGGGCGGAGCTGACCTGATCCAAAGTCTGGAGTCCAGAGCTTTTTCCTGGTCTCCCATATGGGTGCTTTGGGCTGTCGTCCTTGACTGCTTTCCCAGGCCACAAGCAGGGAGCTGGATGGGAAGCAGGGCTGCTGGAATTAGAATCAGTGCCCATGTGTGATCCTGGTGTGTGCAAGGCAAGGATTTTAGCTGCTAGGCTATTGCACCAGGCCCAAGCCCTGCATTTTTAAAAGTCACTTATTTGTTTCCTGCTGATTTTCAGGATAGCCTAAAATCAGGAAAAATGTATTTATTTTACATTGCAATGTAGCAGCAATAAACCATTTATATCGTAAGTCTTTTTGTTTTGGGTCATGGTGGTCACCCTATATATTAGTGACAAAGAGATTTTTTTTTCAGGAGGAAATGGAAAATTCCAAACAGTGAAATCAGATGTTGAGTTTTTGCCTCTTTAAGTAGCTGAGTCCATGAGAAATGTTTTGATGTTCATGAATACTGAAATAGCTCGTGAACCACGTTAGAGTGAGACTCTAAAACACATTTTACTTTTTTCTTTAGGAAATATCATGGTTTAGTTAAATGTTTACCCAGTACTTACGTAGGATCGTCTGACCCGAGAGGGGCCTGGATTTCCTGGCTGACCTCCCTGCTGGGGCAGGAAAATTGTGTACTTGATCAGTTCCTGAGGTTGCTGGCGTTAGTGGCTGTTAGCCCTTGGGAACTCACTGCTGTGCTGCCCTGTGGATTGTGTATCGATCCATGCAGTGATAACCACCTTGACATTCGGCTCTCTGAATTATGGGACATGAAAGGGTGCTTCCCGAAGGATTAGCTTTTTATGAAAAGCTTATATATATATTGACTATACTTTGTTATGATTATATAGAATGCTATATAGGGTTACATTTGTATATGCATTTGTATGTATATATAAAAGGTAATGCGCGCCATTGCAGAAAGATTTCAAAAACCACCAATTGTTTTTCAGACCTGAGATGGGCTCATTAGTGGATTGTGAAATCAGTGTGGGAGTAAATGTTGTTTTTGCTTTTAAACAGAATAAAATTATAAAATAACAGTACATGATATATTATTCTTTCTCTCCCCTATGATATATTATTTAAAGAATTTTGGGATCACATTGTGTCATGAAATAATTCCTTTTTTCTTCTGTAGGTCAGTATAAAGAAACTTTGAGGGAATTTGGCAGTTGCCTGATGGGTTCATCCCTCATCATTCACATGCATGCATATGAAGGGCCTTAGACAGTTCATGGAATATGCATACTCTGAAAATGCTGTGGATTTCCAAACAATTGTGATCCAAACTAGACCTTGATTCCATTTTCCACTAACATGTTGAAGTACCCCTGTGTGTATGCTTGTCTAGTAGTTGTGAAGTCCATGTAGACATTGCCTTCTCTCAATTTTCCTCTAGTTTTTAGTTTCTGATAGAATACAAATGACCAGGGCTCGGCGCGGTGGTGCAGTGGTTAAGGTCTTCGCCTTGCACGCCCGGGATCCCATATGGGCACCGGTTCTATCCCGGCAGCCCCGTTTCCCTTCCAGCTCCCTGTCTGTGGCCTGGGAAAGCAGTCGAGGACAGCCCAAAGCTTTGGGACCCTGCACCCACATGGGATACCCGGAAGAGGCTCCTGGCTTCGGATCGGCATAGTATCGGCCATTGTGCTCACTTGGGGAGTGAATCATCGGACGGAAGATCTTCCTCTCTGTCTCTCCTCTCTGTGTATCTGCCTTTCCAATAAAAAAAATAATAAAAATAAATCTTAAAAAAAAAAAAGAATACAAATGACCCCCATCTTTCTAATTTTTTTTTTTATCTTAAAGATTTATTTACGAGTGGTTTACTCCCACATGACTGCAGTGGCCTGAGCTGAGTCAAGCTGAAGCCAGGAGCTTCATCTAGGTCTCTTCTGCAGGAGGCTGAGACCCAAACACTTGGGCATCTCCCACTGCTCTCCCAGGCCATCATTAGGGAGCTGGATCAGAAGTGGAGCTGCTGGGATTTGAGCCAGTGCCAGTATGAGCTGCCAGTGTTGGCAGGCAGTGGCTTTATTGGCTATGCCACAATGCTGGCCCCTGTAATTTTCCTAATAAAGGGCTTCTTAAATGGCGTATCATGTCCTATTATTCCCTTCTGGAATCTCTTTCCCTCTTATAAAGTAATATACTTCAGATCATTGAAGAGTTAGAGTTTTAATACTCTCTGAGGCAGTTTACATATCTATGTGAACTTGTGTTATGAAAATGAAGTGTGTATTTTGAACTATTTGCTGGGATTATGATTTCTACCAGGACTGACATTCTAGAACTCTTGATGTGGAATTCGATTGTTCATAAGGTTTATATTGAAGAACATAACTAAGACTTACTTGTCTTTCCAAGTAATTTTGAATGTACTTATAGTTTATAGCACTCTTTATTTGGAAAACTAAGTTGTTACTATTTTATTATGAGCATTTAATGATTTTGCACGTAAGACATGATGGTGTGAATTAAAGAACTCAAACCTGACTTTACAAGCCCCTGATAAAACCAGCCTTCTTTCTTTGGAGCTGGCCTCCAGGTGATGTCACCTGATGAGCTGAGGAGAAGGCAAAACCTCATGTTCTTGTCCTTGCACATGTTATTGGGCCAAGATAGAGTTTAACATGCAAGTATGTTAACAAAGGTTGCATTGCAACATGTTCATGTGCGCACTGGAGATGTAAAATCCCACTCGCTTTGGGTTTACAGAGTAGGAAGCAAGGTGGTACAGTGAGGCCAAATTTCCTTAGATAAAAATCTAGAACTCTACGTTTTCAACTCCTTTATTTTGCCAGATAGGAGAGGGCTCAAGGGTTGCGTTTACGAGGTATGCCCCCAAAATGGTGAATATTGCTGTGTATATTTCAGCGACTTTCTTCATATTTATCATCTGTATAGTGTTTGTATTCTACAATCTTTAATAAAGTTAACTTTATCAAGAAATTAATTTGGCAGTGTTTTTTTTCCCCCAGGAAAGAAGACAGGAAATAGAATGCAAATCAAAATGGGATTTTTGGTTTAGTAGTTCTCTCCTTTTCTCCTTTTATAGCTGTTAAGATGCTATTGTGTTTGGTACTTGATTTCATGTCTTAACAGTGTCACATTCTTGTCTTTAGGCAAGCCAGAATTCTTTCAGGACGGAATATGATACCTTTGGGGAACTCAAAGTCCCAAATGACAAATATTATGGTGCCCAGACAGTGAGATCTACAATGAACTTCAAGATTGGAGGTGTGACAGAACGCATGCCAGTAAGTGCTTTTGTGCAAATGCTCTCTTATTCTGGAGAATGGGTTACATATTCTGTACATCAATATTATAGAGTTAAAGTATAGAATTGTTAAGGGAACTGGCTTCAGGAATGCTAATACACTGTCCCTCCTTAAAGTGCTTGAACTTTCTGCAGTGTTAGTATGCTGTGTTTTTGAACCATTGTTTGAATATTTTGGATTTTAATTTGGTAAAATTTAATATTGTTCTGTTTAGCTTGGTTTCAGTTTCCAGTAAAGTATGCAATACAAAAGTACATTGAAGTACTATTCTTCACTTGTCTAGTGTGTCATAGGTAATATGTATTTGTTCAGCGCTACATGAATAGTTTAGGTAAATTTCCTGCCACATTTCAGTAAGCCCAGTGTACCATCAATTAGAAGTTGTGCCAATGTGCAACTTCTGTTAGTAAGAAACAAAAAGACTGCCAGTTAAAGTTGTGACATGTTACTGGTAGAAGGATGCATCTTGATTTTAGAGATGTTAAAGTGTGAAAGGAATTGATGAAATCCAATCCCTTATATGTTTTCCTGGAGCCCAGCTGGAATATGAGAAATAATCAATGCAATGCACAATAGGCCAGTAAATCTAGAAGTAGGCAGGCCATACCAGTGAGACCTTTACCTGTTATCTTTAATATGTTGTTTACCCTAAATTACTTAGTTCATCTCTAAACCTTCAGTACTGGATCTTCGCAAGTCTGTAGAATTTATTGCAGGTACTTGAAGATCTCTTTGTCACTACCATCAGTCTGTACACTTGGTTGTGTTGCAGAGTGTAGTGACCAGTCATACAATGCTGACCTTCATTCAAGTCCTGGGATTAAGAAGGTTGGCCCCAACCAGTGAGGTGGGAATAGAGTGGCTGGTGTTTTGATTGTGTTGCTTTAGCCAACTAGTTGTGCAGTTCTAGGGTGCATTGCTGCTATTTGCACCAAGCATCTGTGAGACAAACACCTGGATATTCTTTCTGTTACATTTGATTTCTTTTGGATCAATATCCTGAGCCTCTGATTATATTTACCTTCAACTGAGTATTGTGATTGAACCCAACCCTTTGTAACTGAGGTCGAAAGGACAACCAAACCTGGCTGAAGCTGGGAGCCAGGGACCCAATGCAGGTATCCCACAGGGTGGCAGTAACCCAATCACCTAAGCCATCATCTGTGGCCTCCCTGGGGGTGCATTCATCAGAAACTGGAGCCTGGTATATAACCCAGCTTTCCAATGTGGGATGCAGGAGTATTAACTCACATCTTTACCACAAGGCTATATACCTACCCCAAAAAGGAACTTCTAAAATGAATCAGTTAAGAATAGTATGCCTTCCTGGTCCCCAGTGACAGCATTTTGCCATTTTATTTTCGTGGTGTTCAGTGAAGCTCTGTCTGCTAACGATCCTTTTTTATTTTTATGGGTCCACAGACTCCAGGTTCAGTCACTCCAGACACTTGGCTAGTGTTGATTGGCATGGCTTATGACTTTGTGAGTGGTTCAACCCATCACAATGGTATTTGTTTCCGTAAAAGTTTGAACTCTCATTTGCTTTCACGTTTAAGTTTTTAGTTTCAGATCCTATGGCCATCTGTCTTCATTTTATTTTAATCAAATATTATAACATTTTCTCTTACTTAAAATTCAAAATAAAGAAATATCTGTTTTCCTTTTCTGTTTGTGTCCTAGCTTATGTTCACTGTACCAGTGTTCAATGTGTCTTACTCTTTACTTTTTTTTCTCGCTTTGATTTCCTATCAAGGACTGCAATTTCTCTTATAAATTCACCTTTCTTCCTTATCTCTTTCAACAACAACTCATAATTCACTTGCTTTGAAGAACTGTATTTCATTAAGATCTTAACAAAAATTATTCTCTGTGTCCTGTTAAAATTCAGTGAGGTGATTTGGGGTACATTAAAAGATCTGCAGGCTAACAGGGTTGAGAATAAAGTTATGTATATTAGAAATTATTTGGAGAACCCTGTGGCTGGCACGATAGCCCAGTGGCTAAATCCTCGTGTTGCATGCACTGGGATCTTATATGGTCACCAGTTTATATCCTGGCTGCTCCACTTCTCATCCAGCTCCCTGCATGTAGCCTGGGAAAGCAGTAGAGATGACCCAAAGCCTTGGGACCCTGCAGCTGTGTGAGAGACCCAGAAGAAGCTCCTTGCTCCTGGCTTTGGATTGGCTTAGCTCCAGCCCTTGTATCCACTTTGGGAATGAACCAACAGATGGCAGATTTCTCTTTCTTATCTCCTTTCTGTATATCTGCCTTTCCAATAAAAATGAATAAATCTTTAAAAAGAGAGAGAGAGAGAACCCTGGGTTTATAAAAATTCTTTTTGATTTATTGACTGTCAAGATGTCACTGACTAAAATATATATATTTTTGGGCTCGACCCCATAGCCTAGTGGATAAAGTCCTCGTCTTGCACACACCAAGATCCCATATGGGTGCCAACTTGTTTCCCAGCAGCCCCACTTCCCACCCAGCTCCCTGCCTATGGCCTTGGAAGGCAGTCAAGGACAGCCTAACCCTTGGGACTCTAAACCTGCGTGGGAGACCCAGAGGAAGCTCCAGGCTCCTGGCTTCAGATTGGTGCAGCTCTGGCCATTGCAGCTACTTGGGGAGTGAATCATTGGACGGAAGATCTTCCTCTCTGTCTCTCCTCCTCTTTGTATATTTGACTTTCCAATAAAAAGAAAATAAATCTTTTTAAAAAAGTCATATATTTTTGACTTTGGGGTAAAGTGATCCCATTCAGTAACTGATTATTTCAGACTAATAGACAATTATGTCTTTTAAAATTTTTCATTTGTGGCCAGCATTGTAGTGTGGCAAGTTAGTTGCTGGTTGGAGCCCTGGAATCTCCACTTCTGACTTAGCTCTCTGCTAATGTACCTGAAAAGTCATTGGAGTATGGCCCAAGCATTTGAACCTCTGCCGCGCACGTCTAGGCTTGGATGCAGGTGTTTGCTCTTGGCTTGAGCCTGGCCCAGTACTGGCCATTGCAGCCCTTTGGGGAATGAGCCAGTGGACAGATTTCTCTTCCTCTCTTTCACTATGTAATCTGCCTTTCAAATATATCTTTCTAAAAATTATTTCTTTCCTTTAAAAATTTTTTTAAGGCAGAGAGACAGAGAAAGAGTCAGAGATCTATCCACTATTTTCATTCCCCCAAATGCTCACCATAGCCAAAATGGCTGGGCCAAAGCCAGAGACCTGGAAGTCAGTCTGAGTGCCGTATGTGGATAAAGGAACTGAGGTGCTTGAGCCATTACCTGCTGCCTTCCCAAGGTACAGATCAGTGGAAGGTGGGGTTAGAAGCAGAAGTAGGAACCAGGTACCCACCTAGATAGCAATGTGTCTCAGGTGGTGTCTTAGCTGCTACGCAAAAGCAAACACCACTCCCTTCTTTCAAAGAGAACAAAACACCAACAGCTTAAAAAACAAAAGACCTATAATAACATGGGATGTTATGAGATAAAGTAATGGCTCTTGTTGGTGAAATGAACAAATTCCGTTTTTTGATGTAGCGTATGAAATTTTTTTTTTCATTTCATGGTACAGTTCCATAAGGACTGTGACTTTCTCCTCCCACACAAAACGTATGAAATTATTTTAAGCATTCTATCTATAAGCATATGTATGTATGAATAAGATATATACAATTATTACATATATAAAAAAATCATTGCTTGATGTGATAATTGTGATTCTTCGTTCTTTGTATAATTGTTTGCATTCTTTCTTTGCATCCTAAATATTTTAGGGTTATAATGTAGATTTGAGTTGTTGATTTAAATACCCTTTTCATTTGCATAAAATAATAAACCTTTATGCTTAATTAAGTTACAAATTTGGAATATTTTTCTGATTAATTGTAGATTCCAGTTATTAAAGCTTTTGGCATCTTAAAGCGAGCAGCTGCCGAAGTAAACCAGGATTATGGACTTGACCCAAAGATTGCCGATGCGATAATGAAGGCAGCAGATGAGGTAGGCGGCGATAAGTGCGTCTACTTCATACCTTCAGGCTGCGTCATCAGCCAGATGACAGTAGCCATTGAAGGATGAGACGGGCTCTGTGAGTCCTCGTATGTCACGGTAGTATACAGCATTATTGTTGGGAATGTTCATATGGTACTTAAAATATTGTGAAAGAATTTCTGCATGGTTTTACATCTTCTGTTTTAAGCTTCTTGATTTTATTATGTATGCAGTTCTAAGAACTTTTTTTGAAAAGATAAATTGTGCTTAATGTTTGTTTCCTTATATATATGAAGAATTTCCCATTGAAATTAGTTGATTCTTTGATTAAGCGTATCAGGATTGTAATTTCACTAATCCACAAATAATATGGTGTTAATGAGGCAGTCTGAGATAAAAAGTTTTACAATTCTATGTAGTGTTGTTTGTTATATTACTATTTATGATGATAATCAGATATCTGACCACGAAAGGTGCTTATTTAAGTTATGTTGTTTGTATTATAAATCATGAGAAATTAAGGTTTTTAAAGATTGGTACAGGGAGAAAATTTGGGCAAAAATGTATATCTTATGACCTTAATTTTGTTTAGAAAGAATAGAAAGTGTATTTCATATATATTTATAAAACAATTAACAAATGCTGCAGTCCCTTATTTAAAATGGCATAGTATTTCCATATAACCTGTACAAGCCTTCCCATATACTTTAAATCATCTCTATGTTACTTAGACCTAGTGCAGTGGAAATGCTGTGTAAGTAGTGGTTACACAGTATTGATTTAGATGTGATAAGGAAAAAAAAGTCTGTATAATTTCAGTATAGATGAATTTTTGTTTCCCATATGTTTTTGGTTTGTGGTTGCTGAATTCACATTGTAGGACCCATAGATACAGAGTCTAGTTACAGGTACACACACACACACAGGGAACAACACCACACCAACAGTTATTTCAGAGTGATAAATCTTTGAAAATGATCATACTTTTCTTAGTTCTAAAAGTTTTCTGTGGTGGTCACCTACTGTTTTGTACAACCAGAGAGAAGGTTTTATTTTAAGATGAACCAGTTGTTCACTGTCCAGGATAATAGACTGCTCAAGTGCATTCTGTGTTTTGTAAGCTGAAATCATTCTAGGAGATGAAGTTAAGCATCTTTTCTTTCAGAAAGCTAAAAATCCAAAAACTAACACATAAGCTGAGAGTATTAAAAGTACAACAAAAATAGGGGTAAACCTGTGTAGTGCTTATTTTTACATTTGGCAGTTGCCACTCACTGGACATCTGTGTGATTTAGTGGCAATTTGTAATCTCGTGTTTTCAAGTTGCTGGTTCATTTTCATGCTGATTGGTGCTAACATCTGTTGGATATTCCCCTGAGCATCAATGATAAGTGTGTCTAAAGACAGCACATAGGCCAGGCTTGAACGGGGGCCCTCTAATAAAGGAGGCAGCTGGAGAAGAATAAGGGTGATGGCTTGGATTCCCTTTTTATTTGAAACCAGTGAGTTGTCACACCATTTCTGATAGATAATATTGTACTTTTTGAAGTGTCAGTGGTTAAGGATATATGATACTGCAGGACTTAGAGCTGTGGGAAAACTGCTTTTAAATTCTGGCATTAGCAGAAGTCATTTAGCATATGAAAGCAAGAAGAATTTTAAAAATAGCGCTGCACTGGAGTTTACTGGTTATGCTGGATGAAAATGGCATAAATGAGGATTTTACAAATCTGTGCTAGAGTTTAGTTAATTATGGTAGACAAAAATTGCATAAATGGATTTTGAATATTTTCTTTTTGTTTTCCCTGCAGGTAGCTGAAGGTAAATTAAATGATCATTTTCCTCTCGTGATATGGCAGACTGGATCAGGAACCCAGACAAACATGAATGTGAATGAAGTCATTAGCAATAGAGCGATTGAAATGTTGGGAGGTGAGCTTGGCAGCAAGAAGCCTGTGCATCCCAATGATCATGTGAATAAAAGCCAGGTCAGTGTATGTTCTCCTCTGTCCTTGTCAGAAACTTAAAAGTATACTGAAGGGTTTTTTTTATAAAACAAGCATGTTGACAGAATTTTGTTTTCTTTAGCAGAGCAGAATTATTACGTTTATTTTCATTTTAAAAATCTTGGCTTTATGTCTCAAACTTTATAAGAATCATATTGAGATCATTTGTATTTAATATTTGTTTATGGTTGGTTTTTGTTAAAACTTACATTTCACAAAAAAGTGTTGACAAAGTACTGTGTATAGTAACATAATTGTCACGGCTATTTTCAGATATATTAGCTAACTACATTTCCTGTTTTACATTTATTAACAGGTAGATATAATATATATCATGATGCATAAACATGCAGGATAATGAGTCAGTATAATCTGTATAGGAAATCAAATTAATTCTTGTTTGTACTTATGAACATGTAAAGTTGAGTCATATGTGCTGAATTTTGAATCGTCATTCAGTGAATTTTTTATGTAATACATTCTATTCAAATTTGCTTTCGATTGCTTTTGATTCAACATTTTACTTATTTTTTGAAACATTTCCCACAGAGTTCAAATGATACTTTCCCCACAGCAATGCACATTGCTGCTGCTGTCGAAGTTCACGAAGTGCTCTTACCAGGACTCCAGAAGCTGCATGATGCTCTCGAAGCAAAATCCAAAGAATTTGCTCAGATCATCAAAATTGGGCGTACTCACACTCAGGATGCCGTTCCACTTACACTTGGGCAGGTATGGGATTTTTATTGTATTTCATCGTGTTTTATTCAGTCTAGGAATAGGGCAGATGGTGCACGTACTGCATTGGGGCTGAGGTGCAGAGTAGTGCCATTATGCCATACTCGAGTGTTGGTTTGAGTCCCAGCTGCTCTGCTTCCCATGCAGCTTCCTACTAATGCACCCGAGACCCAAGTGGAAGGTCAGGCTGGAATTTTGGCTCTTGCCTTTAACCTGGCTCAGATTTGGCCATATGCCTCTTGAAGAGGGAATCCGGGGATGAAAGATCTCTGTCTCTTTCTGTCTGTCTCTGTATTCTCTGTGTTACTCTGTCTTTCAAATAAATAAATCTTTTAAAAATTGTACTGGTTTAGGGCCCAGCGTGGTGGCCTAGTGGTTAAAGTCCTCACCTTGAACCAGCCGGGATCCCATATGGGTGCTGGTTGTAATCCCGGCAGCTCCACTTCCTATCCAGCTCCCTGCTTGTGGCCTGGGAAAGCAGTCGAGGACGGCCCAAAGCCTTGGGACCCTGTACTCGTGTGGGAGACCTGGAGGAGGCTCCTGGCTCCTGTCTCTGGATTGACACAGCACCGGCCATTGTGCTCACTTGGGGAGTGAATCATCGGATGGAAGATCTTCCTCTCTGTCTCTCCTCCTCTCCGTACATCTGAGTTTGTAATAAAAATAAATAATAATTTAAAAAATTATACTGGTTTAGAAGGCCAAGTTTATGTCTCTTAAATTCAGTGACAGATTATTCTGTATTTACCATCAGTAGTTTTTATTAGTATACACTGAGTAGAAGAATGAGCCAGGCTTATAGTCAGACCTCTTAGATTGAAATTGTAACTTTGCTTGTATAAGCTGTGAAACCTAAGGAGACCTTTTTAGCTTTTATTAGCTCAGTTTTCTGAGCTTTAAAAGGAACAGGGGCTGGTGCTAAGAAAAGAGGAAAGCAGTAACTCTTTTCTAATAAGTTAACTTAATGTAGAACCCTTAGAATCATTCCTAGCATGTAGTTAGCACCCACTTTGCTAAAGTTCATTCCGACTCTGACTCCTCAATCTTCTATATAAATCATCATTTTGCCTATGTTAGCAGAAAAATCACACTTTGCTGTTTGATTTTATCTGAAGCAATTATGCCTTTCTTTTTTATTGAACTTATTTTTAGTTTCTTTATTTTCTCCCCAATTAAAATATTTCCATAAATTAATCCAGGTGTGAGGATTATGTGTGTTTGTATGTGTGCTTGTATGTCCAATGAGTCAGGTCTGTTTGAAAAGAGTTACATCTTTTGAAATGTTTAGTTTAGAATAGAATGAAATCCTTAATAGTAATCAAAAGTGTTCATGGCTTTTCTGTGTTTTCAATCAGGAAAACTAGAGTTAGTGTAGTCCTATGTCTTGGCTTGCCCAGCTGTGTCCAAGTTTCTGCCTTTGGTTTCTTCTTGATTGTTAGTAAGACCTCTGGTATATTCAAAGCGTAGTAAGGTCTGTGGTTGTCATATCTTAAGTGTGCTGCAGCTGGGGAAGCTACGTGACGTTGGCAGCAAAATTAAAGTGCAGGTAGTCAGAGCTGTAATCTTACTCCTCTGTCCACCCGTGTTCTAGTCAGTGAGTTGCTAGGAGTTGTCAGGAATTTCCTTCTAAAATTCCTTAAGAATGTCTGCATGTTTCCTGTCAGGTTTTTAAACCAAAGTTATATGGAGAATACTTCTGTGTTTCCATTTTTATTGGGAGAAGCTTCCGTAGTTTTTCTTCAAAGTTGTCTGAGCACACCAAAAAGTAACAAAACATTTTGTTTAGGAGATTGCAAATAAACCACTGATTTAATGTACTGAAGGTTTTTTTTTTCCTAAAGTTTTTCTTGTGTTGTTTTTCTTTGTTTTCTGCTAAAACAAGAGGTTAGACTAAGCAACATGTTATTAGAGGCACTGTGTTACATCAAAGCTTTGTATTCTCATCCTTCCCGATATTGTTCATGTGAACTGAAATCATATAAGTACCACTGGAGTAGCTTGTAATTTAGTATTCTGAAACACATTTTTGAAAGTTCCTTTTAGTACAGTTAGTAAGCAATGCGGAAACTTATTGTCATCTTAAATTTATTCTTTTTCCAGGAATTCAGTGGTTATGTTCAACAAGTGAAATATGCAATGGTGAGAATAAAAGCTGCAATGCCAAGAATCTATGAGCTTGCAGCTGGAGGCACCGCTGTTGGGACTGGCTTAAATACCAGAATTGGCTTTGCAGAAAAAGTTGCTGCAAAAGTGGCTGCCCTCACAGGTCAGTGATCACATGAAGTAAGGATCATTTGCATTATTATTATACATATTTTCTTGATGTTTTTGCCTTGAATTCTTGTGAATTTAAACCCAAACAGGATATGTTTCCTATCAAACATGTTTTTTTCAGAAGTTGTACAGCTTTCAGACAGCATACTCTCTGGTAGTATTCAGTTGTTTTCCCTCAACTTTACAAAGTAGATCTTTTAGAATAAACAGAAGCAACTGTTTAGAAAGTTGTTTGAGTGGCACATATGTCATAGACAGAGGCTTAGTTTCTTTTTGCTCCTATGTTATGTTGTGGTTTGAATTTGTTTGAATTATTGACCTGTCCGAATCCTTCCTTTCACTTTGGATAATGATAGCTGTTATTAGAGTCAAGATGTCATGTCTAGAAAACTCCTAGAATGCAGATGTTACCACAGGCTGAGGGCAGAGATAATAATATACTACAGATTATAGCTTGCCAGCTGATTTGTGTTTTAATAAAAATTTAATAGGAAAGAAACTGTTAGAGTTTGAAACATTTACGTTTTAAAACTGTAAACACGGCGGAGATTGAGATCATCTGACTTACTATCAAGGGATCCTTTGGGTTCTTGACTACAGGTAAGAGTGGAATTGAGTAAAGTGGACCAGGAATTATGAGAGAGAGAGAACATGTGAGGAAGGGAAGGTGAAATAAAGCAGAGTGAGTTCCAAGCATGTTTCATCTTTTCTCAGTAGTAGTCAGGCATCATACACAAGTGTTTACTGTGAGATGATGTTTCATTTTTTCCCTCCAGCATATTTATTTTATTTGACATCTCAGCCTTTTGAAATGTGTTAGTGCCATATCCTTTGTACTCTTTAAAAACTTCTTAAGGCTGAGCCTTGAAGTAAGCATCTTGTGTTTTGAAAGTAAAATCATTGATTTGCTCTTGCTTTTCATTTGCTGGGACTGTTTGACTTGATTTGTAGAAAAATGTTTTGTTGTGCCCTTTCATCCACACAGGTTGTTTTTTCTTTTCTTCAGGCTTACCTTTTGTCACTGCTCCAAATAAATTTGAAGCTCTGGCTGCTCACGACGCTCTCGTTGAGCTCAGCGGAGCCATGAACACTACTGCTTGCAGTCTGATGAAGATAGCAAATGATATTCGTTTTCTGGGTTCTGGTCCTCGATCAGGCCTGGGAGAATTGATCTTACCCGAAAATGAACCAGGAAGCAGTATTATGCCAGGTAATTACATTGCTTTTATGTGCTGGAGCTAGAACTTTGATTAAACCCCAGACCACAGAACGTGTTCCTCTTGGTTTAATGCAATCCCCAAACTGGATGAGGACATGTGTTTCAGAAGGCTGTCTGATCAGGACTTAGGGGCACATCACCTAACAAGAGAGGAAGAAAGATTCTGAGTTAGCAGCATGTTTTGATTCCCACATTAGAAAATGTGTAATGCTACTCTTTTACATTCCAAACCCCAGAGAACAGGCTATTAAAATGATCAGCATGGATTGAACAAAAATGAGTCATGTCACATCCTTCTTATTTCTCTGTTTGCATTGAATTATGGGCCTGCTAGATACGGGAAATGAAACAGACACTGGGTGTCTTGATTTCATAAATCATTTGGTGGATTCATGGGATACTCACTGACTTCATAGAGAAGTGTGGGTGGTGCTAGTGGATGAAAGTAGCTAGGTGAATAGTGACATTTAAGGAGTGAGTAATGAGTTAGTTTCAGTCTGGAGGCCTTTGAGTCTTCCACTTAACTGGGGAAGGACTGTTGTATTAGCTGATAATGAAGCTGGGCTGGCAATATGTTAGGTGACAGGAAAGATTCATAAAGGCCACTGTTGACCAAAGTATACCGGACTAAACCTGACAAGGTAATCTTTAATAATGAGAAAGAAGGGCCTGACTGTACATTGTTTTAAATCTGTGAATATTTAGAATGAGAGGAGCTGGTTTCAAAGTACTTTGCATTGAAATATGACATAAAGGTTTGGTTGATTGTAAACCAAAAGTGATTGTCTAAACAGAAGAAATGGAGATTCATGCAGATAAAAGAATCTTTCTAGTATGTTACCTTATGTTGATCAGAGGAATCTGGGATGTTTGGTTCAAAGTGAGATTGTGTTAGGGGTTACAACAGTGGTAGAGTTCCGGAGACTCAGGTAATGAATGGGTAGCAGAATTACAGCATAAGGAGATGCTTCCAAGGGCTGCTGAAATCGCTTTTACAAGTGCTGCCGTACAAACTTGCTCTTCTAGACATTACCCCTAACTTACTGAAATTGCCTTGTCTCCCTGTCTGGCCTGCAAGTTCAGCAAGGGCAGAGCCCACTTCTTTTGTAGTTTACTATGTACATTCAGTGATGCCATAAATGCTTATAGAATAAACGAAAGGTATGAAGGTGGAGGATTGCATTTAATGTAGAGTGGCTACTCATCCGGACATGGAATGAGTCATACTTTGTAGCTATGCATTCCTGTTTTTGGTTGAATGGTTTTACTAAATCAGAACTGATAGCTGGGCCTTGCTTTATTATCTTGCTTAGTACAATTAGATTTCTTCCTTTTCCTAATTATTTGAATAAAATTAGTTTTTAACTGGTAGCTGACACCATATGCATATATGATTTGATTTCTTGAAGGCAAGGTGAATCCTACTCAGTGCGAAGCAATGACGATGGTTGCAGCCCAGGTTATGGGGAATCATGTAGCTGTTACTGTTGGAGGCAGCAATGGACATTTTGAGTTGAATGTTTTCAAGCCAATGATGGTAAGCTTTAGTTTAACTTTTTTTTCTTTTTTCAACTGAAGGCTACTTATCTTGGTTTTTGTCTTATATAAATGTTCTTGGGTATTCCACTTTAGATAGCTGGGTGACCTAGGTACCATTGGAATTCAAGTGTTAATTAGTGTTAGAATGGTAACGCTAGGTTTTAGGAACTAGGTGATTTTTTTTTTAGTTCAAATTATCTTATGGCTTTTTTTTTTAAGGTTTATTTTTATTGGAAAGTCAGATATACAGAGAGGAGGAGAGACAGAGAGGAAGATCTTCTGTCCGATGATTCACTCCCCAAGCGGCCTCAACAGCTGGAGCTGAGCCAATATGAAGCCAGGAGCTCTTCCAGGTCTCCCATGTGAATACAGGGTCCCAAGTCTTTGGGCCATCCTCTACTGGTTTCCCAGGCCACAGCAGGGAGCTGGATGGGAAGCAGGACTGCCAGGATTAGAACTGGTGCCCCTGTGGGATCCTGGCATGTGCAAGGCTCAAGGTGAGGAATTTAAGTGCTATGCTATTGTGCTGGGCCCAGCTTTTTTTTTTTTTAAGTTAAAAAAAATTCTGTAAAAAGGGTATAGTTTTGTCTCTTATACTAGGGATATGGGGATATTGGTGGCTAGAAAAATGTTCAGATCCCCTCAGTTTAATTAAAAACAAGCCTTTCCATCAATGCTATTCTCTTCTTATGCTGTTGCTTTCTTCTTCCTTCACATTCAGTCTTCTTGAGACAGTAGCCCATATTCACTTGGTTTATATTACAATGAATATCTGCCTCAGTTCAGTAGATGCCCGATGATTCTAATTTAACATCCAATGTGGTCTGTCTTCTTGAAGCATTCTTCATTCTTGATTTCTTCAACATTTACTTTCTCTCACTGTCCCCTCTCAGGCCTTCACTGGTTTTACCTCCTCCATAGTCTTGAAAACATTTCGCATCTACCAAAACTGGTTTTTTGCTTTATCTTTACAAACATTTAATAAAAAGATCTCATTTTTAATCCAGTTTCTTTGGTCTCAGATAATGAAGCTGTCATCATTTCTAGTCCTTCATTAGTGTAAAGTATTAAAGCTAAGACTGCATTAGAGATGTGTTTCCTATTGGTATCTAGTATAACGTCTATTTTTAACTTGATAAAAATGTGTACTCAGTGCATTCATAAGATACTTACTGCTGCTCTGGATCAGGCACTGTAGTGGACACTAGCACTAGAGAAGTCAACACCACAAGTTTTTCTCTTTATTTCCCTTGGGGAAGATCTGTCCCAGTGCTGAATGAAATAATTGTCACTGAAACAGAATTTAAACCTGTGAGCTTTGCTGCCAGCTATTTCAAGCAGCACCAGCTGTCTGGCACAGCACATGCACAAGGCAACCTTAGGAATCATTTTTTCTGTTTCTTTCTCGTCTTTTAAGAAAACAGATCAAGATAACAAGTACTGTATAATAAAGGTCATTAGTCTCAAACCTTAAAGTTTTATGTCTTAGAGACATAAATTTCAGACCCTAGGGCTCAAGTTCGGAAGGTGTTGGGAAAGATGATAGGATGTGATACATCTTACCATGTATTGGATGTGTTACCAAAAGATACAAATACTGAAGCAAAGCAAGCTAGTTGATTTGATTGGCACTTTAAGCACCGTGTGCTAAGTTGTCTTGGTGTGAATGCAGAATCCTTGCTGTACGAAGCGTGAAGAGCTCAGTCCGCGTCTTGTGCTGCCCACAGAGCTCCTGCAGCTCTGCTCTTCTTCCCCATGCACTCAAGCGGCTTTTCCATCTCTGACGTTCAAGTCCTTGCAGCCAAGTTGTGCTTCACCACTTCCTACAGCTCGTAATGATTTTTCTGTATGGTCTCTAACACCTTCTTTGTTTTAAATACTAAAACACTTGTATTTTAGTTGATTCTATGTGAGTCTTCATCTTAGATTTTTTATCCTCCAATGTCAGTTTCACATTTGTTTGTTGGACTTCTGGTTTTTGAACATGTATGTTTATTGAATTGTATATTCACTGTGAACCAGCGAAGGATACATGTTGTTTGATTAAAAAATATTAGACTTGATGTTTCTTTTTTCCTCTCCTTTCAAAGATTAAAAATGTGCTACACTCAGCCAGACTGCTGGGGGATGCTTCAGTTTCCTTCACAGAAAACTGTGTGGTAGGGATCCAGGCCAACACAGAAAGGATCAACAAGCTAATGAGTGAATCCCTAATGTTGGTGACAGCACTCAATCCTCACATAGGTAAGCGTTCAAGGAATAATAGTATTATTTTGAATAAAGATTAAAAAGCTGAACATTTCAAAGAGTATTAGATTAATGGGTTTTTTTTACAGCAAGTTTCTTTTTGGATTTATTTCTATAAAATATCTTCAGGTATTTGAAATTATATGTCTGGGTCTTTCAAAAGCTGGATCTGTTATGCTCCATTTGTTATTTTTTAATGAATATCCAAAAGTACTGGGTCAGATTTACTTTAATTTTAATGGAATTCAGATGTTAAATGTTCTTAGCTACTTGGAGAGTGTTAAGGTTATATATAGGGCTTGCAGTTGCTAATGTCACTAGGAAGCACTGGCTGATTAGCAGCATGGAATAAATTCATTTCCTACCGTCTCTAGTACCCATAGGGCTTTGATTTTGTTGTTTTATTCACCACAGATATGCAAATTTGCCAATTAAAATGAGAAGAAAAAGTTCATCTTCACTGCTTATACGGCAAAAAGAAGAAAATGCAAATGTTTGGTCTCAAACAATGCATGTATATGCAAGCCTTTTCTAGAATTGGACAGCTTTTATTATTAAGAATCAAATGTATTGAATTGTGAACTGACCTTAGCAATCCTCATTAGATGGTTCTGACTTTTGTAGATTTTAAGACATCCATTACTGCTGGACTTTTGAGACAGATGTTTATATTCTTGAATTCATATCGACTTTTGATTTCAGTTTTTTTTTTTAAAGTTAGAGCTCATTTGCCTCTTGTAGTAGTTCTGAGCCCAACATATTGTTCTTTGGCATAGTATTGAGATTGGTGGTATTAGATACATGTATGTGTGTACATATGCTTTCTGTGTGCACAGGCTTTATGTGTTTGAGAAATAGACAGAGAAAGCTCCCGTCTGCTGGGGTTCCCCAAGACCTTCTGCCTCCGAGAGGAGAAAGTTGGAATTGAGAGCAGAGCCAGGACTCATACCTAGGCCCTGTGATATGGATGTGAACATCCCAGGCAGCATCTTAACTGCTCAGATAACCACTGCAGTCATGATGTTTTAGTCCATTTAAAATTGTTGTTAGCCTCCACCTACAGATATATAAAGGGGAACCCAAATGTGTATAATTGTGCAATCAGAATTTTACCTCAGAATGTCTTACCAGTGATAGCCCCGACAGCAGACTGATCACTAACCCTTTCGCGGAACTGATTTCCTATGAGGAAAAACAGTTCTCAGAGGCCACGCATGGACATGAAGAGTATCCTTGGTGCAGCCACCTTTGTGGACGACTGAGCATGTACCTTGTGACTGTCCACTGTGGATTCTTTATGTCCTCAGTGGGCGATTGTTAATAGTGACTTTCAGAAACTGAGAATTGAAGATGATGAGCGTTATTGGTTAGATGTTCTAGTCCTTATTGACAGAAAATTACAAAATGTGTTGACCTCAGCAGTGTAACATGAGAATTCTTTCTTAAAGCTGTTCTGATCACTACATGTCCTTTTTAGCATTGACAACAAAGATCAACTGCACTCCTAGTTTCCTTTAGGGTTGGTTGTCAACTCGTATGACACACAACTTCTTGTTCTGTTAATGATCAGATTGTCTCAGACTCCTTCCTGTGTTCGTGTGCCTATGACCCCGTTTGTTTTAAGGTGTTTTCCTCCCTCATTGGCTTCATTTTCATTCCTGCTTTGTCTTCTTACTTAAAAAAAAAAAATGTAAGTTAAAATAGCTTGCAGACAAATAACTATAAACAGCTTACCTATATAGATCTTTTGAGCAGGAATTTATATATACATTTAAGCTTATATATAGACTATATCAATATCCTTGGATTGTGTGGAAATGGTGAGGAGTGGAGACTGATGTAGTGGAGAGTGAAAGGGAGGGACTGGAAGCCGCCTTGAAAGGGCCTCCCCTCTGCTCTCCTGGAAGACGCGCCACACTGGTCCATCCTTCCCTCTCAGAGTCACTCACCTCAGTAGCCAGGCATACACTACTGTATTTTCTGCAGGAATGGAATTTTAATCTGGCTAACTCTGTGGAAACATAAAATTATTTCTGGTTAAGTACTTTTTTTTGAAAAATACACCCAAGTATGTATTTTTGTGCTTCAGTGCTATCTTTTCTGTATTTTCTCCTATAAAAATATGTATGTTAGTGGGAAGTTTCAGCTTGCAAATTGAATGTGTTGCAGAAACTAAGGGAATGTTTTTAAGTCTGTATTTGTTAAGAAAAGTAAAGATTTCACTCTTTGAAAGAAGTGACAGCTATTGAGATAGTCCCTGTTAAATGTCACTTAAGAGATGCATAGCATCAACATAAACAGTAATGATGACCTTTGTTTTAGAAAACAGTATTATTACTAATTCCTGCTTTTTTTCTTGTTTTTTTCAGGATATGACAAGGCAGCAAAGATTGCTAAGACAGCACACAAAAATGGGTCAACCTTGAAGGAAACTGCTATTGAACTTGGCTATCTCACAGCAGAGCAGTTTGAGGAGTGGGTGAAACCTAAGGACATGCTGGGCCCGAAGTAATTTAAATAAATGTAAATAAAAATAAACACATTATGTCAAATTTAAAAAGCCAGACTCCCTATATTTCTTAAACACAGATTTGAAAGGAAACTATGGTTGGACTTCGGTGTCTCTGGTAGAGCAATCTCATCAGTGTGTGAAACTCCAAGATGTGCTAGATGCCAAATAAGTTAAAATAAGTGTGAAATAAAAGGTGATGTATAAATTAAATGGATCAATTTTCTTTTATGTTGATTGATTTATATTGTAGCAAGAGCTGATTTTTGTGCATAATGTGTTTATCATTTAAGTTTTCTGAAGGAACCAGGTGCATTTTTGAAGATTTATTTGTTTATTTGAAAAGCAGTTGAGAGCGACTTATGATATTCCATATGCTTTTTAACATTAGGATAAAATGTCCTATTTAGGAGACAATATCTTCACAAGATGGCATGATATCAAACATAGCTTTAGTAGATGTAATCAGTACATATTTGTAGATTCTCCTTTATCTCTAATAAATTTTTATATTTATTTTTCCTATGGAATGACTATTTTTTTCTCATCAATTCTCATTTTAATGTAATATTAATGCAAGGAGCACAGATTCAATGTCGTCCATAGGTAAAATCTAAAAGGTTTATTTATTTGAAAGGCAGAGTTATAAAGAGATAAAAGAGGTTTCAAACTGTTTGCTCACTTCCATATAGCTGCAACATCTAGGGCTGGTGCAGCCTGAAACCAGGAGCCAGGAACTTTTTCCAGGTCTCCCAGGTGGGTCTGGGGGCCCAAGCACTTGGACCATTTTCCACTGCTTTCCCACCAGGCTAGTAGCAGACATCTGGATTGGAAGTGGAGCATCTGGAACTTTCAACTGCTGCTCATATGGGTTGTTGACCTTGTAGGTTGTCAAATTTAAAAAGCCAGACTCCCTAACTTGTTAAGTCACAATGCTATCACCTTAGGTTTTTGTTGTTGTTGTTGCTGCTGATAGTGTTTAAAGATAAATTTTTGCACTTGTTATCTTGTTCCTAAATCATGATCTTCATCATCTTTTATTTTCCTATGATGTGTGAGCAGGGGGTTAGCAAGGCCACCTAGTATGGGGAGGTATCTATGTAACACCATGTATTATGTAATTATAGCAGGAAATACCATAGTTTCAAGAAAACAGGGACTTGTTGCCTCTGCTAATGATAGCCTATAGACACAAATCTTCTGACCTTATTTCTGTTATCACAGACTAGAAAGACTGGGTCAAGAGTTATTGGGCATAACTTACAAAGACTAAGAGAAGTGATAATAAAAAGAAAAAACACAGGAAGTCCCAAAGACAAGTCCTACCTAACATGTGTCTGTGTACCAGTGACGAGATTTCTCAGAAGGAATTCACTGACAGCAAACTCAGGAGATTTTGAATATGTATTTCTAGCAAGATTAAGAATAGGTTGACTAAATCAAAAGCAAAATTACTTACATAAATAGGAATAGCCCAATATGTACAGTTGGAATGGGCATTTTATTTTGAGAAAAATTTCCCTGAGCTAAACTGTCTTGGCTCTATCATGTAGATTTTTAAACAGGAGATTCTTACCTTTAATATTTACTCCTGGAAAATTCAGCACAACAGCAGCTCCCCTGTGGCAGTTTGAAAGTAGTTGCTTTATATAGCACTTGAAGTTGCAAAAGTCCTAGAAATATTGTGATGGATGATGAAACTAGTATTCTTATTTCCCAAGCCTGAGTGAGTGCTGCTATAAAAAGGGTTTAAAACTTTTTCAGTGGAACTGTAGAGTGTGCAGAATCTATTTGTTAGCCATAAACAGTATTTAGCAGTTTGAGAAGGTGAAGATTAACTTGTGGGTTAATTTACTATAAAACAAAACATAGTGTCCTTTCAGTACATTGTGTTTTTTAAGATATTTTTATTGGGAAATAACGAGATAAAATCAGTTGAAGTGTGTAACAGTACCGGGAGCCCGGCAACCAAACTGGCAACTAATTTGCAGTTGTGCAAGAATTTATTATGATGCTGCATGTTTTCACGGTCCCAAGCATCCTTGATCCAAATAGGTTGTTGTTTGAGGGTTCAGACGCGACCGCTTATATCATAAAGATGATAGCAGAAAAAGTTCCCAGCCTTGAACAGAATGCACAACTCTCTAATGTATCCTAGCATCATAGGCATTATAAGCCATCATTAAAATTTTTGACAGTCACTGATATTTGCACTGATGTTGATTTTGATAAGTAATATTTGACTTTATGCTTTTATAATTATCTAATATAATTTTGTTGATTACTTCTCATAATTCCTTTCAACACTTCCCAATCATGTGTAAACATGTGTGCCAAAAAAGTATCCTAGCTTTGTAAGGCAGAAAAACTACAGCAGCAAATTTATTGTATCATAATTTCTTATTTTGTGCCATTCTTTCTGGCATCCCTCTCCCTGCCTGAGCTTTAGTAAAGTAATAAGCAATCTAGGCAGTTGGATCTGAACCAATTTCCGGAGTATTTGTGTCTAAGTTGGGCTGAATCACTGAACTTTTTCTGTTTTTCAATTTTTTTTTTGAATTGAAAAATAGATCAATGACTTCCTGTCAGTAAATTCACTTTATTTTTTTCCAGCTGTGAGACTAGCATCCTAGTGTTTGCCCCTCTGATAACCCACTGCTTTTTTATCCTACTAAACTTTTTATATTGACCTATTTTAGGCTTGCAAAAAAGTTAGGAAAATGATATAAAAAGTTTCTTTAGATTTCTCACCCAACTTGCCCTAATGCTGACAACTTATATAACTGTTAGTACAAGGGTCAAAACCAGGAAACTAATGTTAAAATATTAACTAAACTGTAGAATTTTTTCTCAAGTGTAATTCATTTTCCCTCTCTCTCTTTTTTTAATAAAGTCCTATTTAAGACTCCCACATTGCACTTAGTGGTTAATTTTTCTTAGTCTCTTGCAATCTGCTGTTTTCCAGCCTTTCATTATCTTCTATCATTTTCCACTTAGGAAGAGTCCTAACTCATTTTATACAAGATCACCTCATTTCTGTTCTTTTGGGATTTTCTCATGATTGGAATGCAAGTACACATCTTTTACAGGAAATATGTTCTCCATGCATTGTATCAAGGGATTCCTGGTCACTGTTTCTTAGTATGGGTAATATTTTCCTGGATCTCCTGGCTAAGTGGGTGTCTGCCACGTCTGTCTATTGTGAGATTACTATTGCTCCCTGATGGGTATTAAGTATCTTGGGGAGATAAATTGAAGTGATGCCAATGCTGTTTTTCCTCCACCCTTTAGAAAAGTCAGACTAATTTCGTATGCATGGATGGGTCTTTTCTACAAAAGTTACCTTGATGGTTGTGTGGTGCTTATTCTTTCCTCAATATTTATTAACTGAAATCTTGCAATAAGGAACAGCTGTTTCTTTGCCCACTTATTTGCCTATTTTATCTTTATTTAGGACAGTGTGGAATGATAGGCGCTTAGTTTATCCTATATGTCCAATGTGGTGTTTTGTGTTGTTACTGTTAACAAAAAATTGATGTATTTTGGATGTTCCTTACTTTGCTGGTATCACAAAGTATTTTTCGTTTTGTATTTCTATGATTGCCAAACTTAATGCAATGAAATGGGACTAGTCCCATGTGAGCAGTTTTTACTTTGCAGTGCAAAGCTCATGAGTTAATGTGACTGGTGGTCTTCTCTATCACAGACCAAATAATTGTAGAATCAGAGTTGCCTGTGCCCGGGGACGCTGCTGTCACATAAGAGAATCTTGACCAAATATACCATTCACAAGTGGTAAACAATAAGCTGAGTGTATCTTTTTGCTTGTATAATTGCCTGTATGTTGTTTGCATCTCCAAATAAACTTAGGAAAATTTTAGATTATTGTAGGATCTTCAAGGGATTTGGTGGCTATCGAGAAAAATTACATAAGCATCTTGTGGCAGTAGCCTATAGCAAACGTTATCTTTCTTTGACGGTTGGTATTCAGGAGATGTCACTTCCAGAGTCTAAAGTGTGCAGGTGGAGGGTCTGTAAGGTTTGGGGGAGATTGCTCTGCAGGAGAGGAGGCAAAGGCGGCTCTCAGAAGGAGGAGAGTTGGAGAGAGGGCTTACGTGTATCCATAACAACTATGAGTCAGAGTTCCAAAGGGCAGCAGCAGGTTGGGGTCCTTGTGACTGCAGCTTACCTATTGCTGGCAGATGCTGGATGCTTGTTTTACTGCATTCAGAAACCAAAGAGGCTGTGCCTAAAAATATGGGCTGTGTCACAGTTGGATCTGTAAAAAATTTAGTGCTGGAATTTAAAATTTTATTTCTTTGTTTACTCACCAGTTCACTCCCCCAAATGCTTGCAACCCCAGGAGAAGATGGGAGCCTGGAAAGGAAACCAAGTCTTTCATGTGCTCCCACATGAGTGGTAGGAACCCAGCTACCTGAGCCATCACTGCTGCCTTTCGGGGTCTGCCTTAGCAGGAAGAGGAAGTCATGATCCAGAGCTGGTCATGGAATCCAGGTGCTCTGATGTGAGGCAGGTGTCTTAACTGTGGCTAAGTGTACATCCTGCCAGCAGGATTTCTCACTAACTGGTCTCTGTATGCTGTGACAACTTAAACAACAGCAGGGCCAATATTAGAGGACATCACTGAGTCATGTATGTCATACCCATAAAGTAGTAGTGTCTTCATGTTACATCAGCTCGTGGCTTTTTAAATATAAGGAATAATTATGGAGGGGGAATTGGAGGGCTCAACAGCTTGTCAGTGATAATGGCTAATAATGAGTGAAGAACCGTAGAGGAAGATCAATTTGAATTAATCTCCAGTGCCATGCTGACATTTGGGGGGGAAGATTCATCAGAATAAGGAGAATACACATGACAACTAACGAGATAAAGAATGAAGAGAGTGCTAATGATGATTCTGACTAGCATATTCTGTGGAACGTGATTATTAGCATGGGATGTGTGCGCTAGCAATATTTTAAAACTTAATCATTGCAACTCTATTCCTCCTATCATGAGGTTATCCAATGAGAAGCTGAAGATAGTGTGCAAATCTTGAGATCTATCCATTACATATTTAAGGGAATCTTGGCTAGGTAGTCTCTGAGGTGGAATCTGTGGTGGAGTCTATAACTGTCTCCAGATCCCAGCACTGCCACTTGCTTGTTCCTGCCACCTCTGATACAGGACATAGTTTTGTGAAGTCAATT